AAAACCAAAAAAAAAAAAAAAAAAAAAAAAAAAAAAAAGTAAGTACTGTATATATAAATACTAGCTTTTCAATGTGCTATACAAATAATTATAGCACACCCTTTTGTTTTTCTGTCTCACCTTGTTTAGGTGAGTACTTCCTTAGATAAGTACTAAATATACATACACAGAACTTGAAAGCTTCGGTTACCCCTGCCTTAGGTAATCTGTTACCTAGATGACACTGTTTCCAGGGAGTAGTTGAATTACTAAAAACCATTAGCCACTTGTCTCTGCACTATTTAGCACACCAGGGCAGGGTCTCTGAGGCTGGGCACTGCTGTCATTTGGGGCCAGGTGATTCTTCCTCGCAGGGCTGTCCTGTACCTTGTAGGACAGCAGCCCTGCCTATAAGGTCTGGGGTTTAGCATGTTCAGCAGCATCCCTGGACTCTACCTACTACATGCCAGAGCATCCTTCCCCTGCAGTCATGACAGTCAAAAAATGTCTCCAGACGTTGTCAGATGCCTTCTGGGGGTCAGTATTTCTCAAGCACTTTTAATCAAAGGTGAGTATTCATACAAGAAATGTGGGGGGGGGGGAACATTTTTTAAATAAGAGTTATGTGTTCCTATTCAACAATACTTTTGCTTTAAAAGTAAGTAGAGGGCATAAAAGATGTCATATTCAAATTTCCATTTCATAAATGGTATACAGGCAAGGACTATAGAACGTGGTAAAAAGCTGACTTGCTTCATGCTGCCACACAAGGCTTATGAAATAGTAAGATAGTAAAATAGCTTATGAAGAAACTACAGAGATTTACAATTGTGCATCACTCATTTCAGCAGCAAAATAAGAACTCCTATCTGGACAGAAATTTTTCTAGCTAGCAATGTTATTTTTGTAAAATAGTTACCTATTAAAACTGTGAAGAGTAAAATAAAGCCAATGTATTATTGTCACACAAGTGATTATGCTAAAAATTATTATAAAGCGTATCATTTTATAATGTATTTACCTAACCTGATATACAGCTATAACCCAATGTATGAAAATCTCAAAAATTAAGACATCATCAAACAGAAGGCAGAATTCCTTAAACTGAGATCTCTGATCCATCTTTAATATTTTAATTTGTACAAATAATACAATTCTATAAACAACTTTGTAGGACTATGCCCTTTGGTGTACATTCAGGCATACTCGTTTTAATCAGTTTGAAAAGTTAATTTAAACCTCTAGAGGTGAAAAGAAACATGGGGGTAAAGTGTGAAAATATTAACTATTTCTTTGAACTCTAAAGACTGAAACTGTAACCATTATGTAAATATAGTTACATATGTACCTGTTTATTTTGGCAGACTGAGTCAAAATATGAATGTATATATTGCATAACTGTGTTAGAATTGTATATATTTTAAAGAAATTGTCTTGGATATTTTCCTTCATACATAATACATAACTCTTTGTTCAAATGTGGTATTTGATGTTTTGGATTAAATGTGTTTTGCCTTTTTGCTTTCCACAAAAATTACAAAAATAAATGCATGTGTGTACAAAAAGCTGCAGAACTCATTTGGTTTCTGAGAAAAATTAAATTGTAGTCAACATAAATTTTCTCGTATCAAAGTATAACAAATAGAAAAGTTTCATTAATTGTAAACCACTCTTTTCATACCACATTATTGGATATAATTACAATTGTTTTGAAAATAAAGCTATTTTCTTTGGGCTTTTACAAGTTATATATTTTACCATTTCCATCTTATACAGTCACTTTGCTCCCATCCAGGACTCAATTTAAGAAGACTGAGGCTATAATTTGCCATAGGTGTCCAATCTGTGCTTCTAGCAGTGACCGCAAGGATGTTCTGCAGAACCCTTAAACTACCTTCAAAGTTTTGAGATAGTGTGAAACATTGTTCCTCAAAATGCGGCCCATGGATAGATGGTGCTGCATCGCCTGGAACCTGTTAAAAGCACAGGTCTCAGGGGCCACTCTAAAACTACTAAAGTCAAATTGGAAGTTCTGCCACATCCCCAAGTGATTCATACTGCACTGAAGTTTGAGAAGCACTGCTCTAAAGCTCTAAAGCACAACTTACCTCTTGAAATAAAATGTGTCCTTGGAATAGAGAGGGAAAAAAATCAGCCAAACTGCTGCAACATACAAGAGCAGAGTCATCTGCATAGTTGTTTTAAAAAAAAATTGTAGTAAGCATGAGGGTTTAAATATTTTTAAAGAGTAAATATGATGAAATAAATATGCTGGAGTTATAAAATAGGTACGTGTTGGGCTCACAGACTGCCATCGTTGTACAGATGGCAGAGTAATGCAAAGATGGGGTGGAAAGTGTGTATGTGCTGCCATAAATAGCGATGCACAAGCATTTCCATTCATGTCTGCGGTGCTCTCTCAGTGCCTCCCTGCCCATGGCAGCTGTGCTGAGCCATCTCTGGAGGGCAGCTCACTGCAGCACAACCATCAGGTAGTGCGTCTGCTATTTGGCTCACATTAAAATACAATCTTGGGGAACTGAGTGTGGGAATTGCAGCTACTTGGGAGGCTGAGGCAGGGAGGATCATTTGAACCCACGAGTTCAAGGCCCCCTCCCATCTCTTAAAAAACAAAATAAAATATTAGAGAAAAAGAGCACTAAGGTTTTTTTCTTTGTTTTTCACAGAGCAGGTTAGGAAATGCTGTTAAAGACCTGTATTAAAGCAATCATTTTGTCCCATAGACTTAATTGGAAAATAATTGTATACTTACTTTTTAAAAAAGTAGTTCTTTTTATTTATCCTACATCACCTGTTAAAAACTACAAATTGCATTTTTAAAATCCCCTTCCTCATCCTTCATAATCTTTTAATATTTTTTACGGTGTCAAAGATTGGACATCATCTTACACAAAATCAGGGCCTAATTTTAATTTAGGAACCACTACAGCCTGACTTTAAAGACAATGGCTACTAAACTGAACTTTTGATTCTACACAAAATTAAATCTAAGACTTAAGTTGCTTAAAGGAACTTTACTATAACTTTTACTATGGCCCTGGCTCTACCGCCCTCTGCTGGATGATCCACTTATCATTCTTAAGAGAGGCCCTGACTGTACCAGGTGCTCAGTAACTGTGTAAGATGCCTAAATCACAATTTCTCGAAAAAGGCTGAAAATATACTGTGACTCTACAGCATATTTTTGTTCTTTGGATAGACAAAAATATACATCATATCCAAAGGACAAAAATATCCACGAAATAAGTCACTTGTTGGAACATATGCTGTTTCTTTCATTCAAAGATGAAAAAATCAACTTCATTTTACCACTTGTACAAAAATACTAGAAACATAAATCATTTGAATTTCCTATTTCTTGAGTGAACTTATTTAGCAATCATGCAAAGTCATGACTTCAAAGTGACCTTGAAACACTGCAGGCAATATGATTAAAGGCTAATTTTTTTTAGATTACTCTTAGCTACTTGAAGCCAAGTTTCAGAGATAGGAAGGCTACATATCATAGTGATACTGGCCCCTTACTACTGTATCTCAACCACCAATTAACTGCCACTCTTAAGTAAGCAAGGGTCAGTAAAGATCCTATATAAGTCAAGTGCAAGGCACAAAATCTCTCAAGGCCATTCCATCCCAGTTCCAGCTGGGATTAACTCCTAAACCTCTGTATTAGTGACTTTATAAGCATAACAGTTTCAGTTCCAAACTTAGAATAAAGCCTACTTGATGAAGGCATGATTCTTTTAAAACATAAAGAATGTTCTGTTCTTTAAAAACATCATTACCCTCAATAAAGATCTTCTAACGAAATATTTAAGTAGGAAAATCTTGAAATCCACATACACCTAACAACATTGCATATGACATAATAAACATCCATTTAACAACCTATGTACAAAATCCTAGAAATATCTACAGTGACCCAGTAGCCCCATGAAAATGTGCTTTCAGATATAATGCAACAGCCAGCACCCACCCCTGCTCTCCAATGGGGACTGGCTGAAGCTCGATGACAGGCACAGAGTGACACTGAACTGCGAAGGTAAGGCTGAGGCCAATAGGCCTTACCTTCCCTAAACCCGCAGAGGAAGTAGGCGGAGGGTTCATCTGCCCTTCCAGTATCCTTCTGGCCTGATCTCTCCAGATGGACTAAGGAATAAGCATCAACTGATGTAACCAGGTGATTCCTAACATCAGTGTGGCTGTCCTGTGGGTCCCAGCCACAGATAAAATACAGAGTGTTTCCCAAGGTATTTTAGGTTGGTAGACAAAGATCACTGGGTGAGTGCCTGACACAAAACAGGTGTTCAATAAATATTTGTTGAATAAATAAATTCCTTAGGTAAAAGATGTTTTCACTAGATATAACAAATAAGATTACTAGGTTTCTTATTTGTCCCAGACATAAGAAAAAAAATCCTTTGATCCAAGTGACTGAAAGTATAGCTTCTGCTCTTAATATGCATATGCAAATTTTGTGATGATGCCAACTGCCCAAATTATGCCAGTATTTTGTTATTTTATGAACTATGTGTTTACTTGAGATTTACTGAGAGTAGATCTTAAATATTCTCACCACACAAAAGAAGGGACTATGTGAGGTGAGGAATATGTTAATTCGCTGTGGTAACTGCCTCACAATGTGTATGTATATCAAAACATCACTTTGTATCCCTCAAATATATACAATTTTTGTTTGTCAAGTATGCCTCAATAAAGCTGGAAAAAAAATTTTTAAACTATATGGGACTTATATACACAAGTCTATCAACATACTGTAAAGTTTAACCAACTAAAAATTGGGGCATTGTTTACTTAAACATTTTAACACAAACCACCTTGTTTCTAGTTAGCTTTATGACAATTTTGTGCTGACCTGTTAAATTAACAACTAATAAAAAAGAACAAAAGTTTTCTGCTAAGATTATAGATTCTGAAATCCCAGAAATCTCCATAATAAGAACTATTTTAGGCAATTCTTTTTAAAAAAAAGATATTGCTTTTAAACTTTTGAAATCATGGGTTTCAGTTTATTATTTTTAATATATTTCTGAAAATATACAATATCAAGACTGTCTGATAATGATTTTTTAATACTTTCCAGTTCTGCCAACATTCCTGTCATGCATCCTTGATAACAATGCTATCCCTGAACCGGGACGGGGCTGGTAAAGTGGGGTCAGTGGGGGAGTATTTTTCCGAGCCAGTTAAAGTCACTGAGGAGGACCCATACCTCAATGTGAGTTGAGATACAATTAGAAATTAGTCATGGAAGGGCATGTCTACCACAGACATCTTTCCTCACATTTAAATTATTCAATTTCTTTCCTGCAGTCCTCCTTCTATCTTTAGTTCCATTTTAAATAACCATTCATCCTACATACCCATTTATCTTGCTTCCTTTTTCTCCCTTTTGTCCTACTGGTATAATATAAGAGATTGTACTTCAGTAAACTATCCTAATGTGGAGAGAAAAAAAAATCAAAATGTGATCAATGATAATAAACAAAGTTAAGATTGCATGCTCTAAAAATGTTAAGTGATTAATTGTTGGATGCCCAAAAGCACTCTTTGTTTCTTTTCCAAGATGATGACTCTTCGTATATTTCCTAAAAAACAAAATTGTAACAGCTATTAAAACTAGACCATTCTAATACATGAATATAAAATATATTTGAATAAGTCAGATGAATGAATACCACATCTATTTCAATGGTTCCTCTTTCAACAATCTAATAGACATTTGTATAAAGCACTGAGAGCAGAAAAATTAATGGACAGACACGTTCTCCATATTTAAGGATTCTCAACACAACTGTAAAAATAATAGACTAGAAGCTATAGCAAAACAGCGTGCAACCACAGAAGGAAATACGCAATTAATTCTATTTGAGGTCATGACAAGAGACATCATGGGCAAGGTTACAGAGGGGAAGACAGAAGGTCTTTAGTTTCAAACATTTTCTTCTTTCCAAACACACCTACTACGTCAACATTTCTAAATATGCTTTTCCAAAGGCAAACAGAATATCCTCACTAGTTGTTAAATACAGTGATCACCTTTCAGAAGTTCTTAAACAAGTTTGAGCTGTGCTCTGGTATGAGCTGCTCTGTGACATATGCACTCTAGCCACCTGCCACCCTTTCCTATATCATAGATGATCTCAAAGCACAGGCCAAGACCAGAACCAGACTAGAAGTTACATAGTTTGTGGAAAGGAGGGGTAAGAAGAACATCTAACTTTTTCTTCTCACTGTCTAGTCACATTCCATTTCTGTAAGGAGAGGAATTCAAATTTGACTCTCCTCTGAACACCTGCACTTCCCCTAACTCTCTACAGATAAACAAAAGCAAAATAGGAAGCCTAGCTATAACTGAAAGCATGAAAACAACAATATGCCCCAACTCCTGCCCCTTACCTGTATTTTCTGGGCTTGTACCCATCCGCCTTCTGTTCACTGACTCCATCCTTTCCTCCCTGGTAAAGAAAGCTACCCCTTCCTCCCAGACTTGCAGCTTATCTTAGAATGCTCTTCTTGCCTCTCCCTCTCCGGGGGCCTGCCCCCACTTCTATCAAAATTGTGTCAGCCTAGTTCACAGCAAGGCAACAAGATTATCTGAGCTTCATCAAGTTTCCTTTCACATATTCTATCCTCTAATCCCTAGGTATTCTCTTATAACAATGGGTTTCAGTTTTCATTCTAACAACATGGTCACCAAATTTCCCAGGCCCTGGTTATGAGTCCAACTTGCTTCTTTCTATCACTGTCTGAGGCAGGAAACCCCCGGGAAGGAGAGGAGAAGTACCCTTTAAAAGCCTTGGCTTTCTGCTCTGCTCTGTGGGTCTTCTGAGCTGTTCATTAACTCCTCAGCTTTGTTGTAAGTCATAGCGCAGTGGGCAATTCTAGAAGATTCTAGACGTTGAAGAGCAATTACACATGTGCAAGCACAGAACAATCCCACTGCTAACATCATGACACCAAGGAGAAATTAGGGATTTGGGCCTTTTTATCCCATCAGAATGCTCTATTTAACCAGAGAATTACTCACCTTTATTGACTGGCTTGACTTAACAGAAAACATGCCAGAAGTTCCTGTTTATGTTTTTAAATCCACTCACTGTGCATTTTCTCAGAGGGAGCAACCTTTTTTTTTTTTCCCCCTAAAAAGAACCTCTAGGAAAAAAGCCTGTTTCACCTTAAAGAATTTCTATTTCAACCATTACCTTAATAGCTAATGCATTATTTTCACTTTCCAACAGAAAGAGCCGCTAATTCAAGGGAATTATAATCCAAGGGATTCATATATGAACCTCTCCAACGGTCCAGACTAGGAATTCTCACTGTTGCCACTCATTGAGGCTTACAGTGTGCTATGCATTCTTTAGGGCACATATTTTTCATGTGTAACAAATCTTGGAAAGAAGATATTTTACAGGTAAACGAAACAAGACACTACAGTCAGTAAAAAGTCCATGAATATAAATTCTGTATAATAAAAGGTGAAGGGTTTTATCTAAAAATTCCTGAGAAAAATCAGGCCCACTTGGTAAAATGTGTTATTTTCTTAACTTACCTTTTTCCATATGGGCACCTTGGCTTTTAAAGTATCAATGGCATAGGTCACAGCTTCAAGGGATGCAGCTCTGTGGGCTGAGGATACAGCAATGATTACGCTTGCTTCTGACACTGGAACCAAGCTTTAACAAGATGAAGAGAAAAAATCACCATCGCCACTGAATCTACATGTTAAAGAATCTGCTAGACAGATGAAAAAAAAATCCAGGTATGCAGTCTTAGAACTATAGTGTAGTTCTATTTTACATAAACATCCAGTTAGAAAACAGTAATTAATTGCAGTAGCATTCAGCAGAGGCAGCAGATGAGGCTAATGCTATGGCTAATTTGTTACAATCTATCCACTAAACCCTCCTGATGGGCACCAAGGAAAATCCTTTCATTGATACAGCAAGCATCTGACTCAAACAAACAAGGCACAGTGCCAGGTAATGCCTAGAGATACAAAGTTATGGCCTAACAAGTATAATACAGGATTTAAAATAATAAATATCAAGTAATAGGAGTGATAATATTAACCATTAATAAAACTACTGGCTATTAATAACAAACTATTAACTAACAGAGTATTACAGATAGTCTCAATTACTGGCTTCTTTTCAAAGCCAAAAAAGAACTCTTCTCTTTTTAGGGGTACAAAAAGGCAAATTACTTTAATGACTTTCAGAAGCATTTATATCCAAAAGAATCTGTCAAAGACTGTCATATAAACAGACTCACAGATTGTCATATAAACAGACTCCAGACCACAGAAAAACTCTCAGAAGGCCTCAAGGCCTTTAGCACACTTTAGCACAAGCCCAAGGGCCTGAAAGTCCTGAAAGCAACAAAAGCTCTCCCAGTATCAAAACCCCCCAGGCAGTCACTAAAGGTACCAAGAGCTATCCCTATTATCTTCCAAAAATAATACATGAACATTCCTCTCATGGTAATGTAGAATTCCTAAGAACAATTCAAGAATCAGAGACAGTACAAAGATGAAAAGCAATGATACTTCACTTTTAAACTAATAAAGGAAATCATACCCAAGTCTATGGAACACTGCTATGTGTTTCACTGGCCATTTCTGCCTAATGTCACTACAAATCTTTCTGACTTCATTATCCGCCATGGGTAGATATGCTTCATATTCTAAGCTAATGACTTTTTTCCCTTCAAAGTTATTTCTTGTAGTCCCTTTAAAAAAAGAAAAAAAAAGCAATTAAAATAAGGTTTTTCCCTACAAAAGAAATAGCACATTAATAAAAAAGGATTATTTGTAGTAGTAAGCAGGATGCCAATTTTTTCTAAAACTACTTTGAAATCTTCTAAAAACAAAATTTGATTAGGAAAATAAAACATATCGTCACAAAGATGATAAGGAAATAAAACAGCACTGATGAAGCAAGCTTATTGAAAACACTCACCTGGCAAACCAGACAATATTCCTCTTGTGACAAATAGATACTTCAAAGGAAAATATTTATGCTTCCAGGACTATCAAGTACATTTTTACCTTCAATTTTGGAAAATATAGAATTCTCTCTCCCTAACAGTGACTTTTATCCTACTTTTCAAAATGCCTTGTAATTTAATAGAGGTTAATTTGAGGGTTACTAAAACAAAACAAGAACTAAAAAAATGTCTATCCACCATCATGGGTACTCTTGGTTTAATGTTCAGTATTTCAAACTCCTCCATTAACACTGAACATGGAAAGCGCATGCTAATTCCTATTGTCTTGTGCAGTGATAGATGTGATGAATATTACAACTCACCTACAAATAGGGATATTGCACCACAGAGCGGAGAAATCACCAACTGTGAGACTTCATCTACTGAAAGTTTCTCGGCAGTAAAGTTTATAATGTCTTTAGATTTCTCTTCAACTTCATCCATATCTCCTCTAGAAATAAGAGGTTAAAAAACCTTAACAAAGTCCTAGGGGTAAAACACTCAACAACTTATAGGCTCTTTCAATTTATGTTTTCTACAAATTGTTGATGGAAAAGGAAGAGGCTGCAGCACAAAATATAATTTAAAGAATTTACATGAGCCAAGACAATGACAGTGGCCCAGGATACTACCAAGATACCTTGGAGAGTTCCCTTGAAGAGCACTCCCTAAGCATTTGCTGCAAGCAGGTTTTTAAAGGCAAAGGCAACAAGAAGAGGGCTAATACAATGATACAAAGTTACATCAGGAATTCTCACGGGCATAGGAGATAACGTTGATTGCTGATTGGCTGTACAAAGTGGAACTATGGCGGGATACAAGTTAGAGTGTCCAGCATATGGATTTTATGGTTTCTTAGCCTCAGCTACTCTGCAGCCCTCATAAAAAGTAGCTTCAAGAGGTAATTACTGGCCGGGCACAGTGGTTCACACCTGTAATCCCACCACTTTGAGAGGCCAAGGCAGGTGGATCATTTGAAATCAGGAGTTCGAAACCAGCCTGGCCAACATGGTGAAATCCCATCTCTACTAAAAATACAAAACCCCATCTCTACAAAAATAGCCAGGTGATAGTGGCACGTGCCTGTAATCACAGCTACTCGGGAGGCTGAGGCAGGAGAATTGTTTGAGCCGAGGAGGTGGATGTTGCAGTGAGCCAAGATCAATTGTGCCACTGCACTCCAGGCTGGGTGACAGAGTGAGACCCCATCACAAAAAAAAAAAAAAAAAAAAAAAAGAAAGAAAGAAAAAAAAAAGAGATAATGATGCAGCTCAAGGGGGAGTGACGTGACTGCCGTTTCATTGCAGTGCCTTTCTATGTCTCTTAATTTAATGTTTTATCTGAGGAGCTCACATTCCTCAGATAAAAAGTTTCTTTTCTTTTTATTCCAGGCATGGGAGGCATGATTGGATTTGATCTGAATGATAAAAAATAATCAAATGTAAAAATTAGCAAAATTCAATTATGTGTATAAATAGCCATAATGAATCAGGCATGACATAAAAAGGAATTCATCATTAACATGATCACTAAAATATAATCTATCTCAATGCCAATATATTCCAAATTCTGTAACTGCTATTCATTTCTCCTATCAAGGTACAGTGGAGGCATCGCCATCTTCACCTACATGCCCATCCCCTCTGCACCACTATGGTACCAAGCACCACATCTAAGCTGCCTTTTTCCTTATCCAACAAAAAAGGGATAACAGAAGTGATAGTGATTCTACAGAAACTGGGTTCCCTTTTCAACCTGGTACAACCCCAGGTAAGTAACTGAAGAAATAAGGGAATGAACTACACACTTATTTACTAGGTATTGTGCAAAGCCCTTTGCCATGCATTTCTCATTTAATTCCTCAAACATTATTACACACTCACTGAGGGCCAGACACTAAGGCCGGGCACTAGATATAAACCAGGGGAAAGAAGCACAAGCTCCTTTCCTCAGGGTGCTTATATTCAAATAGAAGAAACAAAGCAATAACTAAGGATAACAAATGGGGATACCTTGTGGAAATAACAGGCTTCAGAGACAGAGCCTAGGGTCTGGGGGAGATATCTCTCAAGAGGTTGTGTTAAAAGTTGGGATGTGAAAGATAAGGAGGAAGTGTTGTAAAGAAACAAGGGCACAGGCCTCCAGGCAGAGAGAGGGAGTGGCAAATGCCAAGGCTCTGGGACAAGAAAGGGTGTGATGTGCTCCAAACCTAGAAAGAAGGGAGAGAAAAGGGCAGGCTGAGTCTAGACAAGTAGGTAGAATCTTGCAGGCAATGATGAATATAATTATTAATCCTATAAGGTTTCATCTGAATTGAAAGATGAGAGAAAGAAGGCTCAGAGAAGTTAAGGAACTCACTCAGGGTGCTGAAATTCCAACCAAGGAGTCTTAGTTAAGCCAATGTTCTTTTTCCTATCTTCTTTCCACCACTGAAACAGCACAATTATTTATACACCACTGGATTTCAGGGTTTTTCATCTGCTATACAAGCCACCTAACTATCTTCAATCTCTTTTTCTTGCAGTAAGACATAGGTATACAAATATGATCTATGAGCGTCAAACCAGGCTGAGTTCCCACAACTTCTGATTTTACAAGACTACTATCATCTATCTGGCAGTTTCTAAAAATGCATAATAACAGTTCTACCAAACACATTCGAGTAACACAGAACACTTTTGAGGAATCTTTGTAACCGTTTCAAAGAACAGCTGTAATGACCACAAATACCCCTTTAATGGAATCCTATAGCTTTCTGAATAAATTCCAAATTCCAAAAAACTGCATTTTAGAACCTCCTGAAATCATGGTAGTGATATGGTGACCACAGTTTCTAAATAGCATTGAGATACATATCTGATAAGAAATTCTTCTATTATTTGCAGATAGCAGGCCTGAGAAAGAAGCCTAGTGTCGACCCGAGGGGCAATCTGTTTTTACAGATCGACTCTTCATTTCTTGTGGCATTGCCCTACACGAGGGTGGGGAAAAAAATGCGTGAAAAAAGACAAAAAGCCATCCTTGGCTTGTTCCTTTCTTTAACGGAACCACGTTTTTATCATCAAGTATGATATTTACTCCTGACTTTGAATAGAAATTCTAGCAAATTAAGAAAGTCTTCTTTCATTCCTAACTTACCAAGTGTTTATTCAGGGATGACTGTTAATTTCTACTGTATTTGTTCTTCAGTTGACAATAAATTAAGCCTCATTATGACTGTACTTATAAGAAGCCTCATCTCTCCAGACTATACTGAACAATGTTCTTGTACATTATTCTACTCAATATGGACTAAGTTGTTTATAAAGAGGACAAGGTAGCCTGGGTCAAAGAGCCACCTGCAACACAGCCATAACAATAAAGCTATTCCTTTAGTCCTGGACAATGGTAAGCTTTCTTTTCAGGCATTACTAGGTGTGAAATTTTTCTACATTTCTCCATGCCCAGGAGAGCGATTATCTAGTATTAGTAAGTGTGCTTGGCAAAAAATACACAGAGAGTCCAATAATATGAGTTCAAATGTTGTCTCTTGAATAGCTCTTAAATCATCAGCAAAAAGAACAAAGCTTGAGGCATTGCACTACCCAACTTCAAACTATACTACAGGGCTACAGTAACCAAAACGGTATGGGACTGGTACAAAACAGAATGCATAAACAAATGAAACAGAACCCAGAACCCAGAACCCAGAAATTAAGACCCAAACCTACAACTATCTGATCTTCAACAAACCTACAAAAACAAGGAATGGGGAAAGGATTCCCTATCCAATAAATGGTGCTGAGTAACAGGTTAGCCATGTGCAGGAGACTGAAACAGGACCCTTTCCTTATACCACACACAAAAATTAACTGAAGATGGATTAAAGACTTAAATGTAAAACCAAAAACTAGAAAAACCCTGGAAGACAACCATTCCGGATCTAAGAACAAGCAAAGATTTCATGACAAAAAAGACACGAAAAGCAATTGCAACAAAAGCAAAAATTGACAAAAAAAAAAAAAATTGACAAAAATTGACAAATTGGATCTAATTAAACTAAAGAGCTTCTGCACAGCAAAGGAATCTATCAACAGATAGCTTCCTTTGGAGAACAAATTCTTGATCACCAGAATTCTTGATTCTACCCTCCGCTAATGGGGGAGGGGCAGATAACGGCAATTTCATCTCCCAGTTGAAGCAGGAAGAGCTGATCTCCAAGCTTAACATATTCTTGATGAACAGACAACCTACAGAAGGGGAGAAAAATTTTGCAAAGTATGCTTCTGACAAAGGTCTAATATCAGCATCTCTAAGGAATTTTTTAAAATGCATGAGGAAAAACAACCCCATTAAAAACTGGGCAAAGGAACAGGAACAGGAGCTTTTCAAAAGAAGACATACATGTGGCCAACAATCATATGAAAAAAAATAGCTCAACATCACTGATCATTAGAGAAATGCAAATCAAAACCACAATGAGATATCATCTTACACCAGTCAGAAGAGCTATTATTAAAAGTCAAAAAATAACAGATGCTGGCAAGGATGCAAAGAAAAGGGAATGGTTGCTGCTGGGAGTGTAAATTAGCCCAATCATTGTGGAAGTCAGTGTGGTCTAGAGACTGAAATACCATTCAACCCAGCAATCCCATTACTGAATATATACCCAAAGAAATATAATCTTTCTGTCATAAAGACACATGCATGCGTACATTCACTGCAGCACTATTCACAACAGCAAAGACATGGAATCAACCTAAATGCCCATCAATGGTAGACTGGATAAAGAAAATGTGGCACATATACACCATGGAATGCTATGCAGCCATAACAAAGAACAAGATCAAGTCCTTTGCAGGGACAAGGCTAGAGCTGGAGGCTATTATCCTTGCCCAACTAACACAGGAACAGAAAACCAAATACCAAATGTTCTCACTTGTAAGTCGTAGCTAAATGATGAGAACTCACGGACACATAGAAAGGAACAACAGACACTGGGGCCTTTCAGAGAGTGGGGGGTAGGAGGAGGAGGAGGATCAAAAAAATAACTAATGGGCACTAGACTTAATACCTGGGTGACAAAACAACCTGTACAACAAACCGCCATGATACAAGTTTACCTATATAACAAACCTGCACATGTACCCCTGAACTTAAAAGTTAAATACATTTTTTTAAGTTGGCTCTTTCCCTTATTAGCTATGTAATTAGCTATGTGATCAAAGGCAAGTTTTTTAAGTCCTTTGAATTTGTTTTTCCACTTGCAAAATATGGTTATTAATACATCACTGTGTCTGACACATAAGATCTCAATAAACTATGTTAAATGAAACATATCAAACTGATATTAATTAAACTGCTTACTTGACACAGAGATGGTGTGGTGGTATTCATAAATCTGTTGGCACCTATAAAGAGTTGCTGCATTGATAAAGATTTGGTACAGACAGACTTACGAAGAAAATACATTAACAGCAAACCACATATACTTTATCATCTGTATGATCCTTCCCCACATGACTGGTTAAGAAAAATAAATCTCACGTACCTACATGGCTCAAAAGCACTACCCTCCGCTAATGGGGGGGATGACAGCAATTTCGTCTCCTGGTTGAAGCAGGAGGAGCTGATCTCCAAGCTCGACATATTCTTGACGAACGGCAAATATTACCTGATTTCTAACATCAGCCAATCTAAAGGGGAAAAAGTATGAATCAAAATATCAACGCAATGATAGACCTCAAATCTCTTCAGCTGCAATTAGAGATATTACATAGATATAATTATATGAAGCATCACCTGCAAAATTATCAATTAAACTTAAACAGTGTGTGGAGAAAGGGCATATCCACTTATATATACATATTTACACATCACAAAGATACATTAAACTGCTCTCAACTCTTTATTGGATGTTGTATGCCTTGGGAAATTAAAGAACAACAAAAAACACACACAAAAAAACCTTTTCTTTTGAACCTGGTTTGAGGCAATACTCAAACCAGGTCAAAAGAAAAGTTTCCAATCAGTACATGGCCTTTCCAGGGCCTTCCATCCATGCGTACAAGCACAAGTATAGCTGCCCACAAACTGTGCTTGTGCACGTTATCCTACTCAAACATGGGTTCATCTTTCCATGCTTAGAAAGATAAAAAGATGTCCTGGGTCATAGAGCCACCTGCAACACAGCTCTAATAAAGCAGCTCCTTTATACCTCAACAATGGTAAGCTTTCTTTTCAGGCACAGTGGAAATGTATACAATCAGCTGTCTCCCTCCAGGTAAAAGGCTCAAGGTAAAGCAGAACGGGAGACCCGACTGTGTTTCATTGATTATTAGACCGCTGTAAGAGCAACTTAAAAGATACGAAATCATGAAGTAGTTTGCTTTTAAACATATATTGTGGAGTATCTTTTACACAGAACTAGGACTTCCAGGTTAAATGTCTACACAGCTTTAAGTGACACCATTATATATTCCTGAATCACCCTCAAATAAGTCACTTTTAATTTTGTTCCAAAAAGGGCTTGAAGTAGGAATGACAGGAGTAAAATTACACATTTTCAAGAACCAGGAAAAAACATTAGATATTACAAAAACTCAAATTCAGCAGCATCTAGGATTTGTTGTAACTCATTTTTCTTTTAATCTTAGAAATTTCTATTTTGAGTTCTCTTTAAAGAGAGGGACAGAACAAAAAAGTTTAAAGCACACATTTTTAACAGAATTTGTAACAATTTCATTTAATGTTATAAAATTGCAGAATTGGCATGCGCAGTGTTTTGTAAATTATCAAAGAGAATATAATCATGTCTCTGGGGTTCACTGTGCTTTTGGGTAAAATATCTTTAATCTTTCTTAAGAAATGGTGCATATTTAGAGTTTACGTCTTCAGTAGTTCAAAAAAAATACGACTCTTTCTGACATTCAGCACAGCAATCAAAACTAATCTTTTTTTACTTTTATCATTTATATATTTTAAAAATATTTAAGCGTTACTCAAATGCATTCTACAAATTTTTAAGTACCCAGGATGTCGAGTTTCTATCTCCTTCCACAGCTGCAACGCTTTTATTTCTCGTGGCACATAAATGGTCTCTGAACGAACTCCTGTTATTTCAGCACTTTTTGCAAAATACAATACTTCAACCTGAAAGTAAAGAAAATGTTTTTAATAACAACTCATACACGTTTTCCAACTGTCCATGTTGAGTAGTTTTCTCATTTTCCAAATGTATTACTTTAATCTATAAAGAAAATTAAATAACCCACAAAAAAATTCAGTATAAGTTCAAATTCTGAAAACTTGTTTTAAATACAATTCAGACTAATTTCTGGATGCCTTTTAGTTTTACAAATGTAAGTGCGTGATCATTAAAATCATAAGTATCTTCTAGGAAAACATGTTTAGCCTGTTTTTAATTGACATAAAAGTACAGCACCTTTTATAAATATGTAAACAAAGAACAAATGTCTGAGTCAAGAGATGAGTTACACAAATAAAATAAATGAACAAATTAAGCGGAAAAATTTGTTTCTCACGGTTGTCAAATGACCTTGGATTCCGATCTGCATAACATTGTCCCCAGACACTAAGAATGAAGTTATGCAACATAGTAAATCTGACATTTACAGAAGCAAGTGGGTTTGAAACACAGGACAATCTGGTATTTACCAGAACAAACCTGTGCCAGCAACCTGGTACGTAAGGAATCCGACGAAGTAAAAACGGCACCTGTCTCTCAGTGCAAACTCTTCTCTACCAAATAATTACAGGTTTGCAAATAACCAAGGGTGTGGAAATCCACAGATGAAGCACAGTTCTTCACAACAATTCTCCATGAGGTGCATTTCTTTTTAGATTAAAATTTTAGCTTCATCAAAACGAAGAATCTGGGAAAGAGGTGGCCACAAAAGGTCGAGGCGCCTTCAGAACGAACCCGTCCCTGCTGCCGTGAGTGGACAGGAGTTCTCAGAGCGGACCTGACTTCCGCCGGGGCAGTGGCAGCAAAGCTCCGGGCCGGGAAGGGCTCTAGGGTGGGGGAGGGGGCGCCCCCGAACCAAGACGCCGGCCGCCTGGGTGTGAGTTGGGGGCTTGGGAGGTCTGACTGACCAGGACTAGATCTGTGGAGGGAAGGGGCGGGACAGACACGTAGAGGAAGGCTCCACACCCAGGCCCACATTCACACCCGCGACCCTTACCTGGCACCGAGGCACCATCCCGCTAGGGACCTCTGGACCTAACCGCAACCGCAGAAGCGCAGGCGCAGCCTGAAGGCATTCGGCACGCTCCTGCACCGCACGGAGCATGCGCACAACTAGCTCCGCCCGCGCCCGCCTGGGGCTGTCTCCTCACGGCAGACTGTTGACAAGCCAGGATTAATTTTCCGTCGAAGATGGGTCGTGGTGGTGAGAGCGAGCAATCAGTACGGAAAGGGCTGACCATGCATGTCCTTCTCCCCAGGAGGGAGGTCGTGATACAGGTGAGCAGACGCCAGACTCCCCTGGACTCTTGAAGCCTGCGTTATGGAGGCTTAGCTAATAGCCTTGCAAAGGCCTTCAGGCTTTTCCACCCGCTCACCTTTAGTCTTCTCTTTGACACTTTTACCTACGGTATGTGAACCCCAAAACTTTGAGAAAGATTTCAGTTAATTTAGAAAGTTTATTTTGCCAAGGTTGAGGACACACCCGAGACACAGCCTCAGGAAGTCCTGAGGACATGTGCCCAAGGTGGTTGGGGCACAGCTTGGTTTTATACATTTTCGGGAGACATGAGACGTCAATCACTATGTAAGAAGTACATCAGTTCCTTCCAGAAAGGCGGAGACAGCTCAAAGCAAGCCCTCCCCCCCAACATCACTGGGGGCTTCCAGGTCGCAGGTAGGTGATAGACAGATGGTAGCATTCTTTTGAGTTTCTGTTAAGTCTTTCCAAAGGAGGGAATCAGAATATGCATCTATCTCTGTGAGCCAAAGGGAAGACTTGAATAGGAGGCAGATTTGCCCTGAGGAGTTCCCAGTTTGAAGGGGCCCAAGATATTTTTCTTTCACAGGTATACGATTAGTATTTCTTAAAGACTTAGAATATCCGCCTGATCGGAACATTTGAACAGTATCACTTTTCCTGTTTACTGGCTGCTCGGTAATTGTCTGCATACTATCCATCCAAATTTCCCAATTTCTTGCCTAAAAGAACTTTTGGCTTTAAATTGCCAGCTTTGTTACATGGATGTAAGTTACCTGTCCCTTTTCTTGGAGCTCATAGTCCGGAGTAGGAGAGTTTTAAATACGAATGGTAATTCCCTTAATGCTAAGGACATATGTTACATTTCAAGGGTGGAAGGGGTAAGTAAAATTGCGTTACCTGGGGAATGTGTTCTAGTAAGTCTCACTGAGAAGATGCTGGAGCTAAATCTGCTAGAATAGTGACAGTAAATGACAAGAGTTGGATTAGTGCGTGAGAAAATTTCACTTGCCTCTAACAAGCCGCAGGGATATGAAGAACCATAATAAGTTCACGGGTGGGCAAGCAGTTGGCAAGGCAGGTGTGCCTCCAGCAAAGAAGGAGGTGATGAGAAGTGAGGCTGGAGAGTCCTTGGTAGGAAGAATTGACAAGGAGTGATTAATACCAATGCATATCCTGGTAAAGTTGCTACACATCAAGGATAAAGAATTATATTCACATCCAGACATAAAAACAAGGGAATGATGATAGTGGCCTTAGACTCCTCAATGGAATCCAATGCCAGTGGGTGGCAATGTGCAGTATCTAAAAAAGGTTGAGAACAAAAGCTTGATCCCATAATATTACGTACCGCCAAGCTGTACATAATGATACTCCTACACCAGGAAAAACTCAAAAAATGCAATACTCAGGAACACTTCTTAAAAATTCTTCTTGGACAAAAAGTCCACTCAGTCAAGAGTAATCAAAGTAAATAGCAATAAAGATGTTAATGGGAAAAATGAAAAACTAAAAAAACTGACATAGAGATTTTAATCAATTCAAACATAAAACTATTATAGAATAAAATGTAAATTACATCAGAATATTTTTAAAAATGGAAACTGTCCAAAGTGGGAATATGTAGTTACAAAATACTAATTCAGGTTTCTTAATATTTTTCATAATATTATTTATTTTAGAAAATATTTTAGGAGTAACTATCTCTTACGAATAAACAATATTCTGATAATTTGTAATTTTATCAGTTTCACCAGTTATTTTGTTGATAAATTCAAATAAATATATGTCAATAATATTGCCTTGCTTTCATTTTTTATTTTCTAATTCCTAATGAGGTGAATCTTTTAATATTTTCATTGGCCACTTATAATTCTCTGTGAAGTTTCTGTTCACATAATTTATTCATTACACTGTAGATATGACACAGTTCTTTTTTACAAAATACAGCCCCAGCAATAATTTATGAATATGCAAGAAAAGCTGATACCAAAAATTTCCACGCTTATTCCGTAGGCTTTGAGTTTACTTTTCTTATGAATTCATTAATTAAATCAGTAAATCATCATGATGGAATATAAATTATTTTCATAATAAAATGATTTTATGAACATTTGCATTTCACTTAAGCTACAATATTTTGTGAAAACATAGTTGGACCCACCATTTTCCCAGTTATTTTTACCATAAGGAATCCTACTTGATTAAGAAAAAGAGTAAGTTGAGAAAAAACATTTCCATTTTGTTTTCAGATTGAAAAAAAAAGATGAGATTCCATGAGACTAGAAATGTAGGAGTGTCTCACACCTTCACAGAAGGCTCTGTTAAAAGATCAGAAACATAACTTTACTTGGTAGTAGCAAATTATCAAAAATGTTTATGGTCTTTTCTGAAAAACAATTTCTCCCAGAAACACCTGGCAGAATCAGAGTTCATTGTGTCCAAAGAAAAACTTTAGACAAATTAAAATGAGCAAAGAACAATTCCTGAATCGCTCCCCTCCTTCAGCCAGAACAGGTTCAGAAAGACTCCAGTGATGCCACGTAATCAAAGAATTATGGACAAAAAAAGCAAATACATTATAGGAAAAGAAAATGAGGTACAGAAACAGCTGAATTGGTTACAGCTTGGTGTTTACCTTACTTGGACAAGGTTTGAACAGTTGCCTACCTTTGATTGGCTGCAACACAGTGATTGGTGTAAGAGTAGATTACATCCTGTTTACACATCCGGTTAGGTTACAGTTCACTGTGTGTTGAGAAACATTTAGGCCAAACTTAAAATTTGTAAGGAGGCAGCTTTAAAGGCTAAACTTTCTTTAAAAGTTATTAGATGTTCTGTCAATTGTTTCACCAATAGTTAACAGGTTTTTTTTTTTGTTTTTGTTTTCTACGCTATTAAAATAGTATATAAATACTTGCCCCCATTGATTCTGTTTTATCATGTTACATTTTAGTCTTTAATTGAATTGAACCTATTTTTTCCCTAAAATTCAACCTATTCATCCATTTACACAGATTTTTTAATCTAAATATTTTCTATCAAATTGCTAAACATTTTTAGCCACATTCTATTTTCATTGCTGCCCATATATTTTTTACCATCATTTTCAGCTACTAAATAGTATCTAGTCCTAGATATCTGGCAGCCCATTATCAGGAACTTTTCATGAAATGCTTCAGTGACCTTGTTTAAGTCAGTAATGAAGTTTATAATCATATTCTATGACCAAAAAAAGTACAGGTAGTAGATTTTCCAATCTCAGCCCATGTCTACTCCTTTATTTCCCAGTGTGGCAGAACTTTTGAACAGTGAAAATCCTTCTGTCTGAGGAAGTTTGGACTATGTGATGTGAGATTCATAGACATTGACTAGTGTCATTAGCATATTTTAATAGTATTTACATTTTTTATTAAAAATAGATGATGTAGTAGTGACTTTTTGAAGGACTAGCGAAGCAGGATATTTCCCTGACCCCTTCATGGGACCCATGACAGGGGTGCCTCATTTACTCAACCTGCTGCTCACAACTCCTCACGGGAGGGAGCACAGGAGCAAACAAGGGCGAGGACTGGCGTGCACCAGCGCTGGAACCACCCGGCTGCTTCGGTGCTGGTGGGATCAAACTCAACTCACTCAGACCCACTGTGTTCCACCCCTCGAGGGAGCATGCAGGTGAGTGGGTGCAGGAGTCAGGGTGAGCACTTTTGGGCGCCAGCAGGAGCAAACTCCATGTAGGGCCCTGCAGCAGTGACTAGGGGGCTGCTTGTGACTCTCAAAGCCCCAAAGAGCATGTTACCGTGTTCTTTTAGCTCTGCCATCTACAGTCGCCTTAAGTGTAAACAGCTCAATGGGCCCTTTGCCTTTTCGCATGAGGCAGGTGCCCTCCATTAACAAGAGTAAAGGGCCTTTTGTATCTGCACTCAGGGTTCCTGAGCTCTTGTCCAGTGTCCAGAAAAAATGAGGTCACACAAAATAATAGAAGGACGATAAATGCGGGGCATTTTATAGCTGCTGAAAGTGGCTCTCAGCAGGAAGAAGAACAGAAAAGGGGATCAGCTAGGTAGGTATTCTTCCCCTGAAGTCCTGCTGAGGGACTATGTTAACTTCTCTTCCAGGTTGTACAAGGGGCGTGGCTTCAAAGGCAAAAACTCCCCAGCACCATGCTTCCATCTACCTCCCCATCCGGGAACCTAGAGTTCTTGGTCTAACTTTCCCACCTGGGCTAGGTAAAATTTCAGGTGTGCTCCTTTGTTTTAAAAACCCGCAAAAAGCTCTGGGAGGAAGGGCATCTGTTTTGGCTGGACAACCAATCCTGCATCAAAATCGAAGATCAGTCACCCCAGAGGAAGTTTCAAAGAACTCCTCTCATTGGACAAGAACATGAATGGGGCAGGAAAAACTTCAACGTTAAAACTCCACTGTACCTTACCTGTGTGGACTCCTACTCCGGATCCCCTCCAAAGCAACCTGGGAGCTGTCTCTCCCTCTCTGCCTGTGCGGATTTCCCTCTCTGGGATCCACTCCCACAACAGTTGGAAGCTCTCTCTACTTCTCCCTCTTTCTCTCTCTGCCTAATAAATCGCTTTCTGCAAAACACTTTGGGTCCCATATTTACTTGACTAGTAAGCTTACTATGCCGCCAGGGCATCTTTCTCATTCCTAGGGCAGGGGAGCCCAAGAACCTCAGGGCACATCCCATTGGGGAGAGAGCTGAGTCCCATCCCTCCACTCGGTTACATCTGTGGCAGGCAAGCCAGCCCGGAGAGGGTGGTGA